CTGGTGTGGCACTGTAGAGTAAGCACTGGTGCAAGGTCAGTTTGAACTACAAGGTTGGCAGTTCAAATTATCAGCTGCTCCTTGGAAATTCTAACAGGGTCACTGTGAGTCAAAACTGACTCAACAGTACTTAACAACAACAACACACAAAATTATAGCCCAGTGTGTCTTTAATATTTTAATATTTAACAACAACAGCAACAACACAGAGTCATAGCCCAGTATATCTTTAATGTTTAAGCCTAATAACAATGATAAAAATCATAAAGGAAAACAAAGAAAGTTACCAAGTGTCTATATGTTAAGGAAAATGCTGAACAAGGTTAAAAAACAAATTCTTCAAAATATTTGTAATATATATGTGAAAAAGGATGAATATCACTAATAAATAAAGAACTCCAATGACTTATAAGAAATGAAAATTGCATTTTCAATGGCCAAAGAAATATTAAGAATACCCAACCTTACTATGAATTAAAAAACAGGTCAATTAAAGCAACTATGAGCTGAAATTTAAAAATCAATTAGGGTGATTTTTTAAATGATGATAATCAACCTCTTATCTGCATATTAAAATCCAGAAAGCTCTGAATTGTATGTTTAGTAAGTAACTCATTTGGTACCACAACTTTGTTTGACCTGGACTCTTGACAACAAGCCAGTGCTAGCTGATATGGTGTCCTGTTATGGAGCCTTGGATTAATGTGCTGGACTGCAAGGTCACTTTGAATTACAACGTTGGCATTCAAGCTCACTAGCAGCTGTGAGTCACTACTGACTCATCGTCACTTAACAATACAGCAACTGATATGAAGTAAGATTCTTGTTAAATAATGGTGAAGAGTAGGGCTGTTCAATGACACATCGGACAAGGGACTCATTTCTAAAATACATAGGAAACTACAACACCTCTACAAGAAAAAGACAAATAACCCAATTTAAAAATGGGCACAGGACATGAACAGACACTTCACCAAGGAGGAGGTCTGGGCAGCCAACAAACCTATGAAGAAATGTTCACGATCACTAACCATTGTTGTTGTTAAGTACCGTGGAGTTGGTTCTGACTCATAGTGACCCTGCACAGTGTTTCCGAGGCTTGTAAATCTTTACAGGAGCAGAAAGCCTCATCTTTCTCCCGCAGAACAGCTGGTAGTTTCAAACTGCTGACCTTGAGGTTACTAGCCTGATTCATAACCACTACACTACCAGAGCATTCACTAGCCATTAGAGAGATGCAAATCAAAACAATAATGAGATATTATCTCACACCAGCAATAACAGCAAAGATAAAAAAAAGTAGAGGACAGTAAATGCTGGCAAGGATGCAGAGAGAATGGGATCCTCCTACATTGCTGGTGGGATTGCAAAATGGTCCATCCACTCTGGAAAGCAATATGGCACTTCCTCAGAAAGTTGGAAATAGAAATACCTCATAATCCAGCAATTGCTCTACTTGGTATTTACCCACAAGAAATATGAGCAATAACACGAGAAGATATATGCACACCAATGTTCATAGCAGCACTAGTTACAATAGCAAAAAGATGGAGACAGCCTAAGTGCTCATCAATTGAAGAATGGATAAATAAACTGGTAAATGCATACAATGGAATACTATGCTACATTGAAGAAAAACAAGGAAGCTGCAAGCCACCGCATAACATGGATAAACTTTGAGGTCATTATGCTGAGTGAAATTCATCACAAAAGGAGAAATACTGCTTAGGACCATTATTGTAAAAGATTAAGAAAAAGAATCCACTCTAAAAGGGGGGGGGGGATATCTATCTATCTATCTATCTATCTATCTATCTATCTATCTATATATATATATATATATATATTTGCTGATCACCAGGATGTATGGGATGAGATGAGAGGAGGGAGGGAGAAGAAGATGGAGCACAGGGTAGGCAATAGACACAGGATAGCTTGGGTGCAGGCAATACACAAAAAGGGGGAGGGGAATAGAAGAACAAGGAAGATGGGAGAACAATTAGGCAGGTTTGCATGGGCTAACTGGGACAGAGGTAAATAATGATGTATGCACAACCTTGGAACAATAGCGCTCTGGGATACAGGGATTGAGGCATGGCTTGAATGGGTAAAAGAGGGGAATAATGTCAAGATGGTTGGCTGTCCTTTGAATCTTGGTTACCCTTGCATACCATTGTAAAATAGACACTTGAGGGGGAGAGAAAGGACTAGCCAGAAACATCAAAATAGAAAGCTTGTAAATCCATCTTCAGCATGTAACTAATTGAAATACCTTAAAGGGGGCTAGAAGTTGCCCAGTGAAAGAGTTTTCCTATGGAGACTTTACATTGCAAAAGACCATAGGTGGAATCATGAACCCCATCCAGAATCATCTGAGGTGGGAAATTTCCACTTGAAAGGAAAAGTAGACCAGCCTGGAGCAGCTAGAAGAATAGAAGATACTTCTTTGAAAGAAAGACTAGCAGGAAAAATCTAAAACAATAACGACAGTCTGATTGACTACTACAAGAACAAGTAAGCTGTTTGCCCGGGAGCCATCAAGGCAAGTGGTTGGTTCTACTCAGAGCGAACCCATCCAAAACTAAGTTGTTGTTGTTGTTAAGTACCGTGGAGTCGGTTCCGACTCATAGTGACCCTGCACAGGGTTTCCGAAGCTGTAAATCTTTACGGGACTCAAGGGAAATACACAAGCAGGCATGTAGTCTGGATGGTGACCACATTGGTCACCAATAAAGGGAAGTGGGGGAAAAACAGCAATGAAGTTATAAGCTAAGTCCGACCACATTCAATAGACTCCTGTGAACCCAGGTGGAGACCTAGTTGGCCAGCAGTATGGCAAGACCCAGGGACTCCTGGGCCCAGAGGCAGTGACATGGCCACAGATCACTAGAGTGGAGAGGGAAGCATCCATCTGATATGAAGTGAGGGGAGATGCAGAAGAACACCCATACTTGCAGATAGTACCCACTTGACCTAGCTTCAATGGCTGAATGATCAGAACTTGACTAAAAGAAGAAAGAAGAGGAAAAAAAAGAGTAACCTGCTACAATTTGATGAACTTTACCTATAGTTATTGATGTAGTAGCACAAAAAATGGAACAAATCTTTACAGCGAGGATCATTCCCACCCCCTTGGTACACAGGGTTTACAGGGATGGGCAACTTGGACATTGGCTACCCAAAATGGGGGGTGGGGGAGGAAGGCAAGAAGTGACTGGCTTACAAGCTTTCAAGAGGGCGCCTAGTTCCAGAGGGGATGGGGGAAGGTAGAATCTCCACTGAATGGTTTCCAATCTGTTGGGACAGGGCTAATGAAAGGAGATAGAGATAACACTCTTGTGGTACAATAGTGAATACTTTCTATCAGGACTGTCTGTGAGAGTCAGAAATGTAAAGGTAGATATTTTGTAACAAAAGGAGGGGAGTGATTGATTTTGCAGTCCAGGAGTGGAGGTCCCTGGGACCATCAAGAGAGAAGAGCAGAGTGCGGGACCCTACCCAGAGATGCAGTGACACCAGAAATGGAGGCAGAGATTTGATGACGTGGACAGACGGAGCAGCTGGGGACACTGGAATCAGGGAGGGAGAGGGACTGTGTGCTGATGGCCCGGGGGAGGGTGGGGTGTTAGGTCTGTGGGGTGTACCCTTTGGTTGTTTGATGATGCATGAAAGGAATTGTAATCATTGCAATGAAACAAAATACAATAGGATGAATGTAAAGCTGATGTTCTCCCATGTAAACTCACATAATTCACAATAAAAACTTAATTTTAAAAAAAGAGTAGGCCTGCTAACCTCAAGGTTAACAATTTGAAACTACCAGCTGTTCCAAGGGAGAAATAATAGGCTTTCCATTCCCATAAAGATTTACAGCTTTGGAAACCCTATGCAGGGTAGCTATGAGTGGGAACCAACTTCACGGCGCATAACCACCACCACCACTAGTGGTGCTTGGGATAATGCACTGGACTACAAGGTCGATTTGGACTGCAAGATTGGCAGTTCAAATTCACCAGCTGCTCCTTAGAAACCCTATATAGTGGTGCTATCAGTCTGAACCAACTTGAAGGCACTTAACAAATTCTAACTACCAACTGTCATCAAGTCAATTCTGACTCATAGTGATTGTATGTAGGGTTTCCAAGACTGTAAATCTTTAAATGAGCAGAAAGCCCCATCTTTCACTCAGAGTGGCTGGTGGATTCGAACTGATGACCTTGTGATTAGCAGTCCATTGTGTAACCCACTACTCCACCAGGGATATATGCATACATATATGAGGAGGGTTCACAAAGCATGTGGAAAATGGAATTAAAAGATAATGGAATTTTTCTATGGATTTTTAAACACCCATATTCTCTCTCTGTTTTGGTCTCTTTTTCTCTTTACACATATATTAATTAGTCTTGAATGATTGGAAATGTTCATCATATTGTCAGAGTGAGAGTGTGTCTAGAATTTTAGGATTTATGTAAAAAGTTCTCAACACCATTCATATTCTGAACCATGTGGAATGAACAATAAGCTAACCATCCTGAATAGCGGGATGTCAATGGAGAATATGTAATGTCTTTATTTCAGTCATCAGAAACAATTTGCTATCCTCAGATACACAATTTGGAAATATGATCTTTATCCTGAAACGCTCCTTTACACAATACAGATAAATAAGAGAACGGTATGCTCTTTTAAAAAAACGATTTGCCTTCTGGATTGCTTTAAATGGTGATAACATGATGACATGCCACACCACTGCTTGGCATGGAATCAACTGCTAGCTCTGGCATTGTATCTGCAAAAAGAGCTCTGTGTTTAACTGCCAATGTTAAAGTCAGAGTTTCTAGTGGTGTCTCCCATGTGTATCTGAAAGTTGGTGCTGACTGCGAATATTTTATTCCACTTTTGTCAACCATTTCTAAAATCCATGAACAATTAAATTATATTGATTTTTATTAGAAATTGAAATTATTTATTGAAAGAAATTACTCTTTGTTTTTCAGAGCTTCCGTATGGCTGGGAAAAAATCGATGACCCCATATATGGCACCTATTATGTTGAGTAAGTCCCTAAGTATGATATTAATTTGTTATTAATGTGTTGTGGAATTATGTTAGTATTTCATTTCTTGAGCATGTATGTCTAATAGTCCCTGGACTCCCTTTCATCTGACTCTAAAGTGTCCACAAATACTCCAGTAGCACTAGCTGGCTGTTTCTTGTCTCTCCAGCTGGTTAATTCGTCATTCCTTTCCTTTGACTCATGATTCTAAAACACCAATTGAAAAAAGTGTGTTTCACACTGTCCTCCAAATGAGTGATAATTAAAGATATCAAAGTAAATGCCCTGCATTTTGCAACCAAATGTTGCAAAGGAAGCTGACTGGTTGTATAAAAGAGATGCATTAAACCAGGTTTTGAAATCAATTAAAGGAAGCAGTGAGACTTTCCAGTTGATCAATAAAATAAAATCTATTTTTTTTTGCCTCTTTGAAGAACACATTTTAAATCAACAGTATTTTTAATGCAGGTTTTATTTACCTATCTGAGATTGTATCACCATAATGTATCCTTGTATAGTATTGGGTATCTCCTGTATACATCCTTCACTGGGAATAAAGAAGCTATTAGAGGTTACATTATATATACCTTCATTCTTAGGAAAATCAGGTGATATATAGCATTTCAAAAGTTAAATATATGAATTACTTTCCCTAGCTCTTCTTATAGTGTTTGTATTATTATCTGTTGTACAATATTGCATATATTATTTGGATGAATGATAAAGACTGTGGTATACTTGAGAAGTATACCAATCAAGAAATGCCGAGTTTGGAAAAGAAAACTTTCACATTATTTATCAATATCTAATTTTATTTCTCTAACCATATTATTTAACAATAGCAATATAAATGGTCATGAGTTATAGATCAATGTTTTATTGTTATTTTTGTTAGCAGTATTCAAAAGTTACAGACCTTTTAGTAGGTACCATGCTTTCATTCTGCTGGGGATATAGAGATTTTTTTAAATTTTTTTCAATTCAGTGCTGGTTTGTTGATTGCAGTTAGTTGCAACCCCAGTAACAGAATGAAACTGACCCAGAGGCTTTACTTGGCTATAATCTTTGTGAAGCTAGATTTCCAGTCTTTCTACTGTGGAGCTGCTGAGTGGGTTAGAACAGTCAACCTTTTTATTAGCAGCCACTGAACCAGCAGATGAGTAAGACCCTTTACAGATGAGTAAGACCTATATGTTCTGGTATGGCACTGTGGGTTAATGTGCCAGACTGCAAAGTCATTTGAAGTGCAAGGTTGGTGGTTAAAGTTCACCAGCTGCTCCTCAGAAACCCTACACAGGGTCACTATGGGTCGGAATCGACTCGACGGCACTTAACAACAACAACAACAACAAGACCTATGGAAGCCTTTCTTTGAGCATTCCACTTCAGGAGCTTCATCTTGAATGTTCTAACACCCACCATTTTCATTTGGAAAAGCCTCGATTTTAGCACAACAATGTAAGTCTTTCCACAGTAAAGTGGAATTCGTTCATTTGGTACCTACCTACAGTCTTCTAACCTAGTATCGTATGTGCTAATGTCATGTGGACAGTCAGTAGAATAAAGAATGCATATATTTATTACATCTTGCAATATAGAATTGCAAACATGAAGGGCAATCATTTGTAAATTGTTGTAAAGACCTTTTGTTGTTGTTGTTGTTGTTGCTAAATGCCATCAAGTCAATTTTGACTCATAGCAATCCTGTATAGGGATTCCTTGGAGCAGCTGATAAGTTAGAACTGCTGATATTGTGGTTGGAAGTCCAGTGCTTATCTTACAGCACCACACCAGGTAAATGCCTCTAAGTCCCACTGCCACTGAGTTAGTTCTGACTCATAGCAACCCTGTATACAGTTTACAAGGTGCGGCTAGTGAATTTGAACTGCTGACCTTGTGGTTCCAACCAACCTTGTGGTTTTGTCCCACAGAGTCATACCAGGATACATATGTTTTAATAATAATATTGTGGCAATTCCTGTGTTAATTTATGAATACAAAATATGTCTAATGAGTGCTTGTTGTTAAATACTGTCAAGTTGATTCTGACGCATGTCAACCCTGTATGGGGTTTCCAAGGAGCATCTGGTGAGCTTGAACCACCGAACTTGCAATTCAAATGACGTTGCAGTCCAAAGCATTAGCCCACAGCGCCACACTAGGACTTAATTCATTGGATCAGGCTGTGTGGAGCCTAAGCCTATTATATCAAGAATCCAAGGCAGTCCCATGTTATCACTTCTTGTAAGATGACTTCCAATGTAAAAAACAGTATTTAACGCAAACCTTTCTTGTCTGTCTTACTAATCTTCTAACATAGAGATACAACACGCATACATCAGACAGCAGTGCTTTGTACTTCACTAGTTATTAAGGTGTATGTTCTTCAAATAAAGGGCTGCTGCTAGTAAACCAAACCAGACCAAACCAAATCCACTGTTGTCATGTCAGTTTGGACTCATAGCAATTCTAGTAGAACTGCCCTCAAAGTATTTCTAAGGTTGTCAATCTTTGCAGAAGCAGACTGCCACATGTTTCTCCCATGGAGCAGCTGGTGGGTTAGAACAGCTGGCCTGTGGTTAGCAACTAAACGCTTAAGCACAGTTCCTTTCCTGTTGCTGGTTGTTGTTAAGTTCTGTCAAGTTGGTTCTGACTCATAAAGACCCTGTTTAGTGTTTCCAAGGAGCTGTGGTGAGTTTGAACTGCCAACCTCTTGATTAGCAATCCAGTACTTATCCTACAGTGCCACACCAGGACTCCATTGCTGCTGGGAGACCCCTTGTAATTATTGAATTGAATATTGGCTGTAACCCTAAAAATAATTATCATCATTATCTGCTCATTCCTAGTCTGGTATTTCCAAAACCTCTGTTGTAGCTGATCCTGGTTCTGATGTTTTACTTGTCTCTTCAGAATGTGTTTTGTGACTTTTAACATGTGGAAAGTAAGGTTGAGTGCTAATATGGGTATAAGGAACTGAGGTGGTTAGACCTTTAGTATGAGTTTTTATATTTATCTGTCTAGGAATTAGGCTGTGTTTACTATTTGCTATAGCAGCAGGTTTCAGAGGCTAACATTTTATCTGGTGTCCTTGTTTTGGGGCGCCTCTGTCGTCTTTGTGCTTCTCTTTTGTTGTTGTTTAGTGCCATTGAGTTAGTTCTGATTCACAGTGATCCTGTATAGGGTTTCCAAAGAGCAACTGGTGAGTTTGAACCATGGTTCTGGGAGACCTCTTGTAATTAATTATTGAATTGAATAGTGGCTGTAACCCTAAAACCACAGTTCAAACTGACATTAAGGTCCAGTGCTTATTTTACAGCACCATACCTGGAGACTCCTTAGACAAAGTATGAGCCCTCTAGTTCTTTTCAACGGCAGTCTCCTATTTACATTAGCAGAAAGCCTCATCTTTCTCCTTCAGAGTGGCTGGTGGTTTTGAATTGCTGACTTTTCAGTTAGCAATCCAGTGCTTATCTTACAGAGCCATCGTGGCTCCTATTATATTATTATAAAAGAGCTCTATTAATATGGTGATGTGTGTAGTGGTTACAAGTTGGGCAGCGGCTCCACAGGAGAAAGATGAGGTGATCTGCTCCAGTAAAGATTTACAACATCAGAAACCCTGTGCAGGGTCACTATGAGTCGGAACTGACTCCGTGGTACTTAACAAAAACAACAATGACGCTGAGGAAGGGGAAATGTTCTACAGTCCTACGATTAGGTCTCAGTTGTTTTGTGAGCCAGTGGCCCTGGGCTGTGATCTTCACTACTGCTTCTTAGCTGTTTTTCCATAGGATAAGCACTGGGTTGCTAACCACAAGGTTGGCAGTTCAAATCCAGCAGCTGCTTCTTGGAAATCCTATAATGGGTTGCTGTGGTTCAGAGCCAACGCCACCACATTTAACATGGCGAGAAAGGAATGCTAGGACAAGATGGAATTGGGTATTCCACCACCACCCCCCCACATCAATTAACCAAAACCCACTGCCTTGAAGTCAACTCCAATTTCTAGTAACCCTACGAGACAAAGCAGAGCCGCTCTGTAGGGTTTCTGAGGGTGTAAATCTTTATGGAAGCATACTGCCTCATCTTTGTCCCATGGATCAATTTGTGAGTTCAAACCTCTGACATTTCAGTTAGCAGCCCAGATTTAACCCACTGTGCCACTAGGGCTTCTTCCACATTGGTTGTTGTTGTTAAGTGCTATCAAGTTGGTTCCAACTCATAATGATACTGTGGGGTTTTGTGAGGAGCAACTGGTAAGTCTGAACCACCGACCATGGGTTTGAAGTCCAGTGATTATAGAGTGCCACATATTGTTTCACTTGTGCCCCAGTGCTTTTTCCTATACTTCCCAGGAACGGCTGGTGAGTTTGAGTCACTAATCTTGCGGTTCAAACCTACTACCCTGAGGTCGAGTGCTTATCTTACAGTGCCACACCAGGACTCCAGGACTAGGCGCTGATAAAATAGCTTCTCTAGAGGCCAGGCCTCTGTTAAGGGGAACAGAATTCTCTGGGCAAATATCAGTCTGGTTGCTTTTCTTCTACCTCTGCTAGAGCGCAAAAGAATTTATCTCCAATCTTCACAGTGAGAATTTAATGGAGCCCTGGAGGTAAAGAGCCCTGGTAGGATGCTTTAGGATAAGCACTGGACTGTTCAAACTCACCAGCTGCTCCTTGGAAACCCTATACAGGATTGCTATGAGTCAGAACCATTTCTCTGTATCTGTTTACCGCTCCCATTTTGTAGGGTGGCTCACCCTAAGACCTAAGTTCTTTAATGGACTAAGAAGAGTTCTCTGGTTTCAGTTTTTCAGTTGTTGTCTTGTGAGATTGGTTGCTTCCAAGCTATTTTCACATTGAATCTGAAACTAGGAGTGTTGTCCTCATTGCCTTCATGTCAAAAGAAAAGATGTGCTTTTTCAATTTGTTTTTGCTCAAATTATATTTCTCTCTGTATTTACCCACTTCATTCTTCATGTACTACAGTCATAGCCT